AAATTACGTCGCGAGCGTGGGTGGTCTTCTGACTAAACATGTCCAGCACGATCCACGCCTTGTGCTCGTGGCTGATGACGAGGTGAATGCCCCAACGTACGCGGCTGGCGAATTTGCCGATGGTTGACGTTGGCGGGCGGTATTGGACCATGCACCCCCACACGCGGAGCATGGACGTGTCTCCCTTGGTCCCGGTCCACTTCACATGCGGGGACAGGTTGCCGGTGATGGCGGTAGTTGACAGTAAGTTGTGCACCCGCACGGCGTGGTGCATCGCGTAAGTCCAGTAAATCGGCGGCAGTTTTGACTGCTTCATCAATGCTCGCACTTTCGTCATCAGCGTGCGGTTCGTCCGCTTAGCTATGCCCTGCTGCTGGTGTGCATAGGGGAGAGAAATATGGTGCTCGATCCCCTTTTGCGCAAGGTAACTCTGCATCTGGTTGCTCCTGAACTCCTTTGCGCCGTCAGATTGCCAGATTTTCAGCTTCTCCCTGGATTGCCGCTGCGCGTGCGCAAGCCAAAGGTGAAACACCTCATAGGCTCTGTCGCGTGTTTGAACGTTCACGATCCACACATAGCGCGTTCCGGCGTCGATGAAGGTAAGCGTGTACATTTCGTCGTCAACTCCGCAGTGCCCCACGTTCAGGAAAGTGCTGTACACCTTGTACAGCTTGGGGTAGCGGTTCGTCCCTGGCTCGAGCAGCGGGAACGGCTGGTGGCTTAGCGCAGCTTCGGGGCACACGGTGCAGTTGCGCGGATGTGTCGTGCCTCTCACTTCGGTGCCGTCTGGGCGTAGCAGCGCCCCAGGAGCGAAGACTCCTGCGTCGATGCAGTTCTTCAGTGTCGCACGTGAAGGATGTCCGAGACGCTGATGCCAGAGCGCATCGTCAGTGCGAAAGCCGGAAGTGCGCATGTAGCGTGTGCGAGCTTCTTCGGGGTCCTCATCAGACAGGTGCTGCAGGTGCTTCTTCTGCTGCTTCATCTTCGTCGTTGGCGGTAGTCAGCATTAGCACCAGAAACTCTCTGTCGCGAATCTCAGAGAGAGGAATGATAGTCCCAGGGATAGTTCCAGGGAAAAAGATCGGTTCGCACGACTCGGGAGCAGGTCCATAGACGGTGCGACGCGGGGTTGACGGTTCGTTGCCCCAGTCGATGGTGTCCCAGGGGTCGCGCTGCGGTGGGTTGTCAGGAGGAGGTAATGCGAGTGGAGTGCGGCGCGGGGGACGACCAAGGGGAACAACTGCAGGTGTCGCCTCAGTTTCCTCTGCTTCATCCTCTCCCCCCTTTTGTTCTTCGCGCCAGTTGCGGCGCCCCATCCCCCGCTTGCGTTGGCCCAGGTTCCGCCGCTGGCTTCCCATCCACCAACACTTCCCCATCCACCTTCATTGGAGGCGCTTTCTTCCGCTTCGGCTCCCCATGCGCCGCAAGCGAATGTCCCGCGCGCTTCGGCGAGGCTTTGTCGGCGGAGCTCCTCAGCTTCGCGCCGCGCCAGTTCTTCTTCTTGCTCCACGGTAAGTTTCTTCGACGGGTCGCGTTGATGAGGGTAAATTTCCAAAAATTTCTCATGGGTGTAGGGTCGCGACACGCCATGCGCATCAAAGGATCCGACGCCAGTACCGCGCAGCATTCCTTGCAAGTGTTGGGAGGGGGGTCCAATGAGAGGGTGTCCTGGCGTGCCGAACACGCCCCGCGTGATGAATTCAAGCTCTAGCTGTGACATTCCTTCCTCTGGCGGCGCATGCCGCTCGGCTTCGGCGATGGCGGCAAGTTCGCGGCCGGCGATTGCGCTAGTCGACGCCGTCGGCGTGTGACAGTCCCTGCAGATGCCGTCTGGGTCAGGGTCATGCAGCGCCGTTTCGCGTGGGTGAGGATGATGTGGTACCCACGGTCTGCCGTCAGGGTGCTTCCAATCCCTTTGGTGGATATGTTCGAAGCGCAGTGGCACGAGGTCGATTAACTCATGCGAATCACCGCTGCAGTCGGGGATGTCAAAATCCAGTACGTACACTCCGTTTTCGGAGTGTGCTCGTCCGATCTGCCTGCGGGGAAAAGTCCGTGATTCGTAGTGCAGCAGGATGTCGCGTGTTGTGCGGTCCGTGCTGAGATCAACGCCGCAGTCCACGAGCTGTGCGGCGGAAAGCAAGTTGAAGCGTAGGTTATGGACGATCAGCACATCGTTGAGCGTGATATGCGTGCGGCTTCCGCGTGCCTTGAGCACGACGATACCTTGCGCGCTTGCGCGCAGGCGTGTGTTGTTGGCCACGGTGACGTAGGTGACTGTGGGGGTGGCGACGGCGTTGGATATGTAACGCTCGGAGCCAACCATATGCTGGCCGCAGCAGCTGTCCAGGTACCAGGTGTTGTAACGCTTGTTGTCGTCACCTGCGAGCAGCGCCAGTCGCTGCGTGATGATGTGCGGGGTGTCGAACTTCAGAAATTGCTCGCGCGAGACCAGTCGAGTGGCGCCACCCGCATATCAAGTACGTCCGGGGGACTTTCAAGCAGCGGGACTGGAAGATTCCAGTCCAAGTCGTCGTCGTCGGTGAAGTCGCGGCGCGGACTGAACGGGTTGTTGTTGGAGAACGCGCCAATGGGGTGCGGTGCTGGCTTGGGTGAGGGTGAGCGAACGCGGCGACGACGCGACTCGCCTGTCATGGCCATGTTGCTCATGACGTTGCGTACCGGGGCAGTCGATGACGGCTGCTGCTGCTGATGCTGAACCGCTGGGTTCAGGTTGCGCGCGGATGGGGGTTGATACCCTTGGGCTGGACGCACGTCGCCTCGTGCGTCTTGTCGGCCGGACCAGTTACTCGGATTGGTCTGGCGAGGGCGAGATCGGGACTTGCATCGATCCGCCAAATGCCCGAAGTTTCTGCAGATTTTGCAGTAGAGGCGTCGCGGTCTTCGCTCTTCGTTGTTGTCGGCGTAGAAGGCGAGCCGTTCACGTTCTCGTCGTGGTGCTGGTCGCTGCTGATCCATATCCCTTTGTTCGACGAGAAGGGCGTCGCAAAGGGCGGCCTCCGAGATGACCCCCTGCTGTCGGAGAAGCGCCTTGCAGGGCCGCCACTCTGGGCCGAGCCCTTGAAGCACAATATTAACGAAGATTTCTTCCGAGATCGAGCTTCCTAGCTTCGCGATTTGGTCGCGAAGGCTCCGACAGCGATTGATGTAGCTGTTGGCCTTCTCCCCTAAGGCCATTTTAGTTTCCAGTAGCTGCTGGAGCAGCCGGCTCGAAGAGACTGAGTCCTTCGGCTGATACACGCCGTTGAGATGGCGCCAGGCGTTGAGGGCTGGAGCGGCCGATGTTTTGTATGAGCGGATGCTCAATTGCTCCGCCGGCGACATGTTCCGCAGGAGCACCCCGTACGCCATCAGAGATTCGTTGTAATATCTAGCTTTGGCGTCGTCGGTGTCCAGCAGGCTCCGCGTAACTCCCGTCGAAATAGTGAAAAATCTTGGCGTTCTGCAGCAGGAGCTCCAGCTCGAAGCTCCAGGTATAGAAGTCTCTGCCGTCAAAACACATACTTGTCTTTTGTTTTTGATATGCTGAGAAACCTTGATTGCGCAGAGATAATTGCCTCTTCACTGGGACGGGGAGTCTTGGGGGTTGAACCATTTGTGTCGAGGGAGAATGTGTGCGGGGCGGCGTTCTGGCCAGTTGGGGCTGGTTGAGAAGGTTGCGAGGATGTTCCTGCGTCGCCGTTCCGCAATGTTTGGAGCCCTTGCTCCAAGCTGGTGAGTCGCTGAAGAAGTTGTGCGAGGACTTCGGTGCCGATCGTCGTCGTTCCCTCGCTTGTCGCAGCCAGGTTGGGTTGCGCTTCAGCCGTCAGATTGGTCTGACCACCAGATCCTCCTGCCATTCTTACACGCGAGCGTGTGCCGGACGCCACTTTCCGAATGTCGTAATTTTCGGGAGTGGCATTGCGAAAGATTCCTGAGTCGCTCTCATACCATGTTGCGATCAGAAGTAGATCGTAACCAGGATCACCTCAGGAAGGTTCGCACACTTCTAGTCTAGTGGTGGTGGGCCCTTGACCTCAATAGCAGAGTGAATGTAAAATGCTTGAGATAATAAAAACTTGCAAATACAATGATATAAATAAGAGTACAGGGGAATACGAATCGACCTAGCTAGCCATGTGCTCTAAGGGGTACATTCCCTTATTCAAATTCATTCCCAACCGTGCGGCGCGTACAGTTACGAAACTGTTCCCGCCAGAATCCTTCTGCCTGCAGCTGCCCGATGCCATCTGCTACGACGGTCCAGATGCATCTCAACCGTCTGACGTTTCGAGTCAATTCTGACTCTTCACATTCGTTCTCGATACTGCATGCACCTTTAGCTGCGGTCGGGAGTGCACTGTAATCTTCATTCATTGCTATTCGTAACATACGTGAAGGCGTTAACAATGAAAAAGCTGATGAAAGCACAACTGTCAGTCCAGTGGTAGCAGGGCAGGCAAGGAGGACAGGATGAGGATGCCAGGAGGAGAGAAAAGAAAGCATGTCAGGCAAGAGAAAAGAAGAGAGAGGGGTGGGGGTGGGGGAAAGCTTGTAACCAAAGAGCATGAGAGCATATCAAGAAGCAGGAGGCTGGATAGGAGGCTGGACAGGACCTTACAAACATTGAAGCCCAGCAGCTAGATCGTGATGCACAACTACTCAGTCAACCTGGCAGTCACGACATGCACATACTACCGTAAGTTCCTTCCAAATGGCTGTTAAACGTGGCTGTAGCCTGTAGCTCTAGTCCTGCCTGAAGGTGCACCAATACCCATGCACCGGAATCATATCTCGTGGTTTGTACATGTGCAGTGCAGCTAAAAATTGCCCAAGAAGCGAGGTGGGAGAGAGGTGAGCGTGGGAGGTATGGTAGCTATGGGTCTAACCGCAAGCTACTATCAATAGTTTGCTAACAATTGTTTCGATTCCATAGCAAGAGTCAAGCGTCTTGACCCCATGGTTGAGAACATGTTGTCAAGGCTTTATTGCTGGAGGGTTCACTGCTGACCCAGCACTTGGGCGAGCTTGGCGGCAGCGTCTTTGCGCGCATTAGCAGGGAGCTGCAGCACAGAAACCAGAGAGACAAACCATGGAGAAAAGGGGGGGGGGGGGGGGGGGGGAAGAAGAAAAGAGTGAGCACAAAAGAAAAGGAGGATGACTGTAAAAAGGCACCAAACCAACAAGGTTGCAAGCCACGTCACAACCCTATGGATCATGCTGGACACACAGCCTGCACCAGCAGCATATATCCCCATGCACTCCCTCCCCCACTTGCACCCCCCATGTACTCCCATTAACTCCTTCCCACATACATTCCCACGCCACAAAGCCATCCCACGTACTGCCTGCAGCACGCTCGACACAGCCTGAGCGAGCAATATGCATTTCCATGTATCCCCATGCCACCACACCACCATGCAACCATGCCCCCACGCCACCATCCCACGTACCGCCTGCAGCACGCTGGCAACAGCCTGTGCCAGCCCGTCCGCAATGCTCCCAGCGTCCCTCTCCCTCGTCAGCACCGCCGCCAGCCTCCCCCCCCTCAGACTCATCACCCTCCTCCTGAACCCCTCCGCATTCCTCCTCGTGCCCTGCACCCAAGCCATGAACTGCTTATCATCCACCCACTCATCCCCATCGATCGCCTCACTCGTCCGGAGCGCCTCAATCTCCCCCCGCTTCACCCTCTGCTCATCAAGATACCACCGCTTCACCTCCGCAATCGCGTCAATCTTCCCCAGCCCATCCACCTGTAACATGAACTGCCTTGCAAGCCCGTCCTCCGCAACCTTCCGACACAACCTCGAGTAGAAATACGCCCTCGAATTCTCCCAAGTGACAATATCCCGGATCACGCCCTTGGCCGCCATCCTCCGCGGGGTATCATGCAGCTCTGCAAACCGAACCGCAATCTGGGTATACACAGGCAGAAGCGCCTTCTCTCTCTGCGCGATCAGCCCCTCAGTAACCGTCACTGAACCATTATCGCTCCCCTGTGCCTGCTGCTGCTTCGCCGCCCTCAGCGCCTTATCCAAGTCGATAATCTCCGGGTCTAGCCTGTGCATCGCGTCGATAAGCTCCTTTTTCCGGAACTTAATCTCCACCACTCCTTCCGGCTCCAGCACGGCTCCTCTCGCCGAATCCTCAGCGTACATCTCCACCATGTGTGGGTTGATCCTATGGTCCACAACGACCCACGCACCGCCCCGCAGCTCGCCCTTCCTCGGGATATACACAAACACCGGCTGATCATACGTCCTCAAATGCTCCACTATAAGCGATCCCGCTTGAAGCACCCCTTCGAACAGATCCCTCTGCCCTCCAGAAAACCCGCGCCAGTTGGCGAGAATAAACAGAGGCAGCCCCTCCAAACGCAGGTCTAGAAGCGCCTGGGCCGTTTTCGCAGCCGAATCCGGATACCACACCTGCCCGGCCTGTGGCAGCACCCGCTCATGTGAATCCGGCTGCCCGGGATCCGCCGGAATGTTCTGGAACACCGTCTGTGTCTCCACAGCAATCACCCCGACAGGAATGCCGCCCAGCCGCGCCCGCCCCACAACCACCGTCTTCGCCCACCCGTCCAGCATTTCCATGAAGCTACCCTCGTCGAAGATCCCCCGGAGGAAGCGGGTACCAGACTGGGTCCCGGCCACAGCAGCGCGGGGATCACAGGAGGTCGTAGGGTTGTACTCCACCTTGCGCGACGGCGGGTCGAGCGGCTTCGGGACAATCGGCAGCGGGCGGTTAACGGCCGCCGGGACGTATGACAGCCAGCGGAGGATCGTCAGAACGCCGTCGAGATCGTTCGCGACGGTGTTGTGAACCACGCCGTTGACAGCCATAACCTTGGGTCCTCCCAGTTGCATGTGCGACGAATACACGTCCCTCCCGAGCAGCTTATTCAGCGCAGAGAACCCTGTCAGAATAATCGGCTGGTCCTGCCTCTGAATCACCCGGCTGCCCAGCCGCGCCAGGTACGCGCCGATACCCACCGTCCGCCCCGTGACAAATGTCAGCGTGAACGTCTCGTGGAAAGCGCGCGAGAACACGCTCGCGATCGCACCACTCCCGGACAGATTCTCCACACCAAGACCTTCCTCAGCGCCGATAATATCCGTCAGCACCCACCTCCGCTCCCCTGACGGCTCCATAACCACCTCATGCGCCACCACAGACGACCGCACTCGAGTATAGTCCTCCGGAGTGAGATACAGGTAATGGAACCCTCGCTCGGGGTTCTTCTCGTCCAGCCACGCGGCATGCAGGCACCGCTTCACCTCCTCTGCGATCCCAATCCTCGCACCCGAGTTCGCAGCGAGATACAGCAGCGGCGCCTTGTTCTTGATCGCCTCGAGAGTAATCGCATGGAAAAGCATGTCCTCATGCAGGCCAAACGCGCCGGCCCCTCGGGTAACATCGTTTGCCACGATGTAGACCGTGCGACCGTCGGGGAATTCGGGAGTGCGGAGGGTGAGCCGCCAGCCGACCATTGCGATGCTGTTCAGCCCCGCCGGGCGGCTGGTTTCCTGTAGCTTTGCGTCCCATGCGATGTTTGGGTCGGCGAAGATGAGCTCCTTGTAGGTGAGGTGCGGGGCGGGCGGCGCCGTGTGCGTGCCCTTGGCCTCTGCTGCCGCCCAGATCTGCTTCAACGCCTCCTCGAAGATCTGGAGGGGAGAACAGGAGAGGTAAAAGGGGAGGTAACGAGATGGCTTAAAGAATGAAAACATTACTTGTTCATTGTCACATTTCTGTTGGAACCACTCTGCTACCGCCCAGATCTGCTTCAGGGCCTCCTCGAAGATCTGCAGGGGAGCACAGGTGGGGCGACGGAAGGAAAGGGAGGACAAAAGGGAGGGGAGGCCATGGGAATGGGAGGCAAATGGGAGAAACCAAGGTTGATGTAGGGCACAAAAACGGGTTCCATATCACAAGCTACTTTTTTCGCCACCACAGACAATGCCACAACAACGACAAGCAGCCAAAGCGCACCCCCACCACCAGCACCCCCACCACCACCAGCACCCCCACCACCAGCACCCCCACCACCACCAGCACCCCCACCACCACCAGCACCCCCACCACCAGCACCCCCACCACCAGCACCAACAGCAGCACCACCACCACCACAACCCCAAGCGGCACTCACGGAGAGGAAGTCATAGCAGAAGGTGGTCCCGGCCTTCCTAGCCGCCAGCCTCCTCTTGTCAATGGAGCTCAACGGACCATACGGCGCGGAGAGCGGCGTGCCATGCAGCGGGCCCATGCCCTTGAGGGTCATCGTGGTGCCACCACCCCCCGGGGGGCCGGAGGGGGACGGCATGGGCAGCAGCGAGGAGGTGACGCGCACGGGGAGCGCGGCGGGCGGGAGGATGAGTGCGTTGTCGGGCCATGATGGCATGTCGGTGCGCGGCAGCTTGGGCGGCGAGGAGAAGTAGACAAAGTTCTTGCCGGCTGCGTCGTCGGCTTCCATGTAGGCCTGGTGTGTGGGAGTGCCGGAAAAGGATAGGGGTATGGGGGATAGGGTAAGAGGAGATGCACATGGGGAAGTAGACAAGTTCTTGCCGGCCGCATCGTCGGCTTCCATGTACGCCTGGTGTGTGGGAGTGCCGAGGAAGGGCAGGAGTTACCGGGAAGGACAGGAGGGGAAAGTTCAGGTGTAGGGAAGAGGGGTTGACAGGACTAGAGAGCGTGGCAGGATAGGGAGGTGAAGTATAGTGGAGGAGACAGGAATCATCGGTAGAAGACTGGGTAAACCCCAAGCTCACCTGCACGAGACAGGCGTGGCCGCTGGGGTTCTCGGCCACCAGACGCCAGGCGCCAGAGCCCACGCCCACGCCCTTCACCTTGACACGCGCCTCCCACATGCACAGCGCCAGCGAGCGCATGCGCGGGGCCACCTTGGCGTCTGCCAGGCGGCCCAGCCCGCACAGCATGCGCTCCACCTCCGCCAGGTTGAAGCTGGAGCGAGGGGAAGGAGAGGGGGGGCAGTGGTAAGAGGAGGGAAGGAGTTAATGCGAGCGCATGCACGGGGCGACCTTGGTGTCTGCCAGGCGGCCCAGCCCGCACAGCATGCGCTCCACCTCGGGCTGGTTGACGAGGGGAAGGTGGGGAGGGCGAGAGGGTGGTTAGAATGGGGACATTTAAAGTCAGAGGCAGACTCTTACCTTGGTGCACCAACTTTACCTCTGGTGCGCAAAAGCTCATGTCAAACTCACCCAGATGCACGGGGGCTCATCTCGAACGACAGGGATCCCAGGAGAGCCATGAAGACATGGGCATGGTCCGCCTTGAGGGTCGTCTCCAGCTCCGGCTCATCCAACGCCTCCTGGATCGCCCTCTGAGGCGAGCTTTTGTACGAGGCCCTTACATAAGCAGCTTACCCTGAGGCGCGGGGGCTCATTTCGAATGACAGTGACCCCAGCAGGGCCATGAAGATGTGGGCATGGTCCGCCTTGAGCGTTGTCTCCAGCTCCGGCTCATCCAATGCCTCCTGGATTGCCGCCGCCAGCGTCCGCGCCGCCACCTCGATCTGAACCGTACATTCGCTCACCAGCGAGTCCGAAAACGACGGCTCACGCGTCACCTCCGCCCCACCACCCACAGCACCACCATCGGCATCACCACCGCCGATCCAGCTGCTGCTGCCTCCACTGCTGCCGCCGGGGGGGCTGGTGTCGCCTCCTCCGCCAGTGGCGGATTTGGGGAGGCGCACGACGGAACGGAGGAAGAGGCGGCGAATGCCAGAGGGCTTCTCGGTGGTGGAGTAGATGTGCCAGTGGCGGTTGCGCGACCGCTTGTACTGCATCTCGCCGAAACTCATCAGCTTTTGCTGTTTTTGAAAAGGGGAAGGGGGGGAGGGGGGGGGGAAGAGGAGGAAGGGGATGAGGGACCGAACAGGGTGAGAATGGAGGCATGCGAAACCCGAGTACAGCAAGAATCCAGCATACCCATAACCGAATGATAGTATACCAAGAACCCAACCAGGCCCACGACCCCATGCACCACAGAACACAACCCTCGGCACGAACCAGTTCCAGCAGGTCGGAGAGAGGCGGCTCCACGTGGCGCATGAGAGGCCACTCTTCGAAGGTTTCCCTCTCCTCGCTCCAGTGGAAGCAGTGCCTGAGAGGCGCACGGCCCTGCCCGTGCTGCACCACGATGCAGCTCACGGCCGTCACGCCCGCACCGTGCAGCGTGGAGGCCGCATCCGCGTCCAGCAGGGACCGGCGCAGCGTGTGAATGCGGTCCTCCATGCGGAAGGTGGACGGGCTGTCCGCACTGTGTTGTGGGGAGGGAAAGCAATCAAGGATGAGAGAGGATGGCTAAGGGAAAAGGAAAGGCAAACGGGGATCTGATGTGCAGGCTCTCGTTCATCCACCACAAAGCGTTAATCCTTGTGGGGATACAAGAGTGTATTGCTGCCGCTTTATTGCCATGACTAGAAAGCAGATTGCGCAGAGCAAGGGAGCTTACAGGCTGTCGAGTTTGGGCAGCAGAGCCACATGAGCAACATTCCCCGCCCCGAACGGGATCCCCAGGAACGTGCGAATCCGCTTCATGCCCCCAAACGGCAGGTCCTCCGCACTGGCCTTCCTAGTAGCAGCCACGCGCGTCTGCTTCCCATCCACCGCACTCAGCAACCACCCGTCCGGCTGCGAGATCACAGGCCGCAGCAAATCCTTCACCTCCTGCAGCGTGGACGCCACCACCATCACTCCCCACCGCTTCACACCCCCCGTAGATGGCGCCTTGAACGTGGGGCTATCCGGGCCCTCCTCTAGCTGCTCGATCGACGGCGGTGGTCCTTCCTCCCAAAACTCCCACGAGGCAACAACAGACTTGTTGTTCCCGGCAACCACCGTGACAGAGTCCTTCACAATATACGGCTGGTACAGCCGCCGAATGTACGTCTCGACCGCCCGGGACTGCACGTCAGCGTCCATGTAGTCAAAGAGGGACGTCAGCGCGTCGTCGATGGCCACCGGCGCGTCTACAAGCCGCTCCATACGTGCATCTAGAGACTCCTTCACCGCCTTCGGATCCAGAGATCTGGGAGTCAGCAGGTCTGCCGCGTCTCCTCCAGCCCCTCCTGCTACTCCGCCTCCTGCTCCTCCTGCTGCGGAAGATGATGTGGAGGAGAGCTCCTGCTTGCTGCTGGCGGAGGAGAGGGCGTCCTCGGAGATGTCGAGGTTGGAGAGGTTGTGCACCACGCCGGCTTGGAGCTCTGTCAGTTGGACCTGCTCCAGCAGGAGCTTCGCCTTCACCAACACCTGGGTGAAAAGAGGAGGGGGAGGTGCAGCAGCACATCAAGCTGAGCAGAACGAGGAGAGGAGCAGAGAGGCGCAGCTCCTCGGGCTTTGAATGAGTGCAGAAAGGGGAGAGACGCGGGGAGGGAGGAGGAGAGCGGAGAGAAGGGAAGGCGGGCGGGCGTACCTTGGAGTGCTTGACATTGGAGAGCGAGGAGAGCTCTTTGAGCATGGCCTTGTGCTTGCTGGGGTTGGGAGCCACCATGCGGTCCAGAATGGCCACCACCAGGTCGTTCTTGCGCGCCACACCCTGGTGGGACAGCACCACGTCCACCACCTTGGCCAGGTCCTTCTTGTGCGTCTGCCTCAGCCCCTCGATCACGTCCGCCTGTGGGGAAGGACGAACGTGTGTGGGCGAGAGGAAGGAGGGGTAGGGGTGTGTGGGTTTGTTTGGTTTTGGCAGCTGTGTCTGGTTTTGGCACATGAATGGTTTAGGGCATGTGTCTGGCATGAATGAAAGTGGATGTGGATTCCGTACAGAGCTTCTCCCACCCTCACAACTCTCAACTCTCATCTCTTTCCCAAACCCACCTGTGGCGTCTCACAGAAGTTCTTCTCCACGCTCAGGTATTGGCTCAGCAGGTCCTGGATCACCGTCAGCCCAAACTGCTCCCTGCCCCCTGCATGCAGCTCAGCTACTCCACTCATCCCCACACTCAAATCACTCACTCCTTCAACCACGCTCAGATAATTCCCACGCTCATTCACTCCCAAGCCCCTCCAACCCACCTGCGGCGTTTCACAGAAGTTCTTTTAACTCAGGTACTGGCTCAGCAGGTCCTGAATCACCGTCAGCCCGTCACTCCCTCAGTCACTCAATCCCACACTTTAACTCACCTGCGGCGTCTCACAGAAGTTCTTCTCCACGCTCAGGTACTGGCTCAGCAGGTCCTGAATCACCGTGAGCCCAAATTGCTCCCGGCCGCCCGCATGCAGCTCAGCCACTCGCAGCAGCGGCGCCACGAGCTGCTGCTGCCCCATGCGGTCCTTGGCAGGCAGGCGGTCCAGGAACGAGCGCAGCACATGCAGGCACTCGGGCGCGGGGAAGGAGAGCAGACGCGGGGAGGACGTTACTTGGGTTGATTCTGACGCCTTCAGCAGCGCATCCAGCTGAGAAGGTTGAGGGATGGTTGAGGGATGGGTGGGGGATGGGTGGGGGATGGGGGGCGGAGGGTGTGGGAGGAGGAGAGAGAAAAAGGGGGTGGGGAAGTGAGGAGAGGGTTTTTGATAGCCTGCCACCAACGGCATCCCAGCAGCAGCGGCGCCACGAGCTGCTGCTGCCCCATGCGGTCCTTGGCGGGCAGGCGGTCCAGGAACGAGCGCAGCACATGCAGGCACTCGGGCGCGGGGAAGGAGAGCAGGCGCGGGGAGGACGTTCCTTGGGTGGACTCGGACACCTTCAGCAGCGCATCCAGCTGAGGGGTTGCCCAGGGTGTGGAGTGGGGGAGGGAGTGGAAAGGGGAAAATTGGAGTAGTATACGGGAGAAGGCGGAGATGAGAAGGCGGATGGGGAGGTGCGTGGAAAGTCCCTAATCGCCTGCTCCCTGTCACCTGGCCGCGGGAAGGAGAGCAGGCGTGGGGTGGACGCGCCCTGGCTTGACTCAGACCCCTTCAACAGTACCCACAGCTATGGCACGTTTCAACACACACTGCATAACCCTCACACACACACACACACACACGCGAGCGGCTTACCTCGGCCTTGAGCTCCTTGGGCAGGCGCGTGGCGAGCACAGACGCCATCTCCTGCCACTGCAGCGCCGGCACTGACTCGTCCTTGATCCCATGAATCAGCTCCTCCACCACCTAATGGATGTGTTGACAAAGAAAGGAGCAGAGGATAAGAGGAGCAGAGGGACAGAGGTTGACATGCTTCGGAGATCCGGAAAATCTACCATGAAGAAGAGGTTAATCTTCAGCACAACTCATCCCGATTCTTGCCTTCTCCCGCATCATCTACCCTCCTTCACGCAACTACACTCCCCACCATGCATCCACCCGGCCTCACCTCGGTGCTGTTGTGCTCGTATCCAGCCAGGATCAGCCCGGCCTTCTTGAGCGCCTCCGCAAACCGGTGGTGCGCCTTGTCTGGCTGCACCGTGGGCGTGCCCAGCTCGGGGAAATCCCCTGTGAACTGCTGCACGACGTTCCTGGCCGTCAGATCGTCCAGATCAAGGGTGGCGATCAGATCTCCTGCGGTCATGGTCTGGCCCTCGGAGATGCGCCAGTGGATGCAGCCAGAGGCCGGGGCGAGCAGCGGCATGCACATCTTCATGACCTCCACCTCGGCGTATGGCTCGTCCATGTTCAGGTGGCCCCCTTCCTCTACCAGCTGCCGCATCAGCTTGCATGGGGTTTCGGCCACCAGCTTGGACGGGTCGTGCTCGTTCTGGAGTGGTTGAGAATGGTTGTGAGGAAAGAACAGAAGGTGAGCGGGAAAGAGGGAGTGGGATGAAATCTGGAGGAACTAGGGAACGGGAAGCTTCACACATCCCAAAGTCCCAACTGGCGTAAGAAGGCAAACCCACGCAAACACCCATACAGAGAAACTCACCAGGTCAGCAAGCCTCTACCAGGAAAAAGCACAGGTGACCTTCTTCATGATGAAATCTCACCTGGAGCAGGCACGGACGGCCCCCAATGAGCAGGCGGGTCCCCGCAGCCTCTTCCTCTGCGTACACGATGTAACTGTTGCCGTCCAGCTGGAAGCGGAGTGGGGGCGGAGAAGTGGTAGGTGGCTTAGAGTCTGTTCTGTCTTGAGTGTGTACACCTCTGGTACGAAACGAACGTTTCGGCAAGTATCAAAAAAGCCATTCCTAAGAGCATTGAACTGGGTGAAGCTTACTTGGCACAGCAAACCGCCGTCCCTGAGTGTGTGCACCTCAGCCAGCACCTCCTGCTGGTTCATGCGGATCTTGTAGCTGCCAGGGCCCTGCCTGCTCAGGGCGAGCTGGTAGGGGCGGAGCAAGGGGCGAGGGTCGGTGTGGGGTGATGGTAAATTTATTGCAACAACTGGGAGCAGTGATTGCAGCAACAGGAAGAGGCACAGTTGAGACGGTAAGGGAGACGAGACACACCATGTAGGGCGCTCACCATGTACTTGACGTTATCAATGTTGAGAACCAGGTTGAAGTGTACAAGTGAGATGCTCTGCAAACAACCAACCAACCAACCAGCCAGCCCACCAGGCACAGAGAAGGAAAAAAAAACAAGGGAAATTGATTCTGTGAGTGTTGGTTCAGCCCAAAGAGGAGGAAGAGTGGCAAAACCCACACAAGAGGTCTCAGTCTGGCATGATCAGATTCTGGTGATACAACCCAGTAATCACACCAGTACTCACACGGCTTTGCGCCAGGGACACAGACGTGCCTAGGCTCTGCATACGCCTGCGTGCATGCAGCTAACCTCATATCTCTAATCCTTCTTAAGTCCCAAGACTCACCACTGGGGGGATCTGCCCCTTCTCGAGGTACCCCATGTACTCTGACACACGGGCAGCTGCAGTGCGGGACGCCATCTGCCCACGCAGGAGAGGGGTTGGGAGCAGGGACGCAAAAGTGCGTGCTTAGACATCACGTGGCGAAATCAGACGGCCCCGAGTCTCAGGGGACAGGCATGGAAAACAGGGCGGAAATGGTGCAGAGGGTGGACGACACAGGGGGTTGGATGGGGGTTTGAGGCGGCGGTGAAGGGTGGAGTGAGAGGTACTCACGAAGAGGCCTCCAGCAATGACGCAGATGTGCCAGGGAGGGCGCTGCGTCTTAATGCGCATGGCAATGCGCGAGTCCAGCCAACCTGTGTGAATCACGTTGTTCTTGTACTCCTTGTCCTGCCAGATGCACACACGGGACGGGACCACAAGAGTTGCAGCAAGCACAGGGGTGGATCGTGGGATACAGGAAGCAAAAAGACGGATGAGTTAGAGGGGAAGACTGCGCTTTGGGCGCTGCGTCTTAATGCGCATGGCAATGCGCGAGTCCAGCCAGCCTGTGTGAATCGTGCTGCTCTTGTAATCTTGTCCTGCCAGATTCTCGAGAGGAATACACAGGTACCCACAACCGGTAAAACAAGGGTAAATCACGAGGCACCACAAGCACAAGAATGGTGAGCTGGAGTGAAAGGATGGGCTTTGGGAGTTCAGCCAGCCTCTGCAGCCAGATGGCAGTGCGAGCCATCAGTCATAGATTGGCAGGGTTTGATGATCTGGATTCGAGATTCGAAGTTATGGGTTAAGAATTTGGGGTTCAGGGTTGAGGGTTTGGGATTCGGGATTCCAGGTTCAAGGTTCAAAGTTCAGAGTCGTGGGGCGAGTGAGCGAATAGCGGAAAGGGGGTGAAGGAGCGAACGAGAGGCACACCTGGAGCAGGTCGGCGGTGTAGTCAACGTTGGTGTGTATCTCCCCTCGGATCTGCACCGACTTGAGCGCCAGCACCATGTTGGCTATAGCTGCCGGCCTATCCTGCCCGAATGCAAACAGGTGGCCTGCGTGTACGGGGGGAGTCGTGACAGGAGGGAGGGGGCGAGAAGAGATGGGAGGAGAGACAGAAGACTTGAGCGCCAGCACCATGTTGGCTATAATTGTGGGTCGGTCCTGCCCGAATGTAAACGGGTGACCTGCATGTACAGGTAGAGTTGTGGCAGGAGAGAGGGCGAGATGAGGGAAACGGAACGATTTGAATGCCTGGCCACTGCTGGCTGGTGTCACCCTTTCAACTCCGCTCTAACCTCAGCTCCCACCGCTCTGTGACTCATCAGACTGATCCGTGACTCACCAAACTGAGAGTCAGAGAACTCGTGGATTTGGCCGCCCGCCTTGATCGAAAAGTACGCCCACACATCCGGCTTGCTCCTGAAGCTCAGCTCCTGCACGCGTCCACTGGTGGGCTTGAACCCGTTCTCGGGGTCTTCACTCGTCACCCTCACCGCCACCACATGACCCTTAGGCTTCGTGGAGGTCACATCGTCGAAATTGAACGATTCCAGGTCCGCGCAGCTGCGCCAGTCGCTAGAGCCCCCGCCTCCCTGGGCGTAGAAGCGGCGGATCTCGGGGAGGCGGAAGAGCGGGATGCCCATGGCGATGGAGAGCTGCGTTGCTGGCAGGTTCACCCCGGCGATCCACTCCGTCACTGGATGCTCCACCTGGGAGGGGAGGTGGGGTGTGGAGGTAAGGGGGAGGACCAAATCAATTCAGAGAGCAGCACACAGCTATGGCGATGGAGAGCTGCGTTGCGTCACTGGATGCTCCACCTTGGAGGAGGGGTGGGTTAAGGGGGTAGGAGGAAGGAACGAGTTTGGGTGGACAGGCATAAGGTTAGGCCAATGGAAAGAGCTGCAGCCGCTGGTAGGTTCACCCTTACTAGCCACTCTGTTACCGGATGCTCTGCATGGGAAAGGGGTTACGAAGGGGTTTGAGAGGGTTTACGGGGTCATGAGGGGGTTTAGAAGGGGTTAGGAAAGAAAGAAGCTACGAAGGGGGGAAGAGTTTACTTTGAGAAGATTTGGCCGCAATCTTCCCTTGACCTCAGCCACCAGGATAAACCAAGGCCAGGACGAGCCTACATGCGGGCCAGGCTAACATTAGCGTACCTGGAGGCGCGGGTTGACTTCGAGGAAGTAGAAAGAGTTGCCCGCCATGCTGTAGAGGTACTCCACCGTCGCCACACCGCAGTACCCCACGATCTTGGCCAGCCGCCGCGCGCCCTGCTCCAGCTCGTGCACCACGTCGGGGGGCGCCACGGTGATCGGCCCCTCCTCTATGATCTGCGCACACTCAGGGCACAGTCAACGCACAGGCAGAACACTATCAGCACACAATCAGCGCAGTCAACGCAGTCAGCACACAATCAGCGCAGTCAACGTAGTCAGCACACAATCAGCGCAGTCAGCGTACAGTCAGAGATGAGTCAGCAATGAGTCAATAACGGAATCGTAATGGTTCAGCGACGGCTCAGTGAAGAGCATATCAGCGCACCAATAACAGAAGCTGGGCTGGCTGTTCGACTGTGCCTGAAACCTGCCTTCCTCGCATTTATGTTAATGTTTAGCTTGGTAAGCGATTAATCCCCTCATTCACGCTGTCAGGCTCTCGCAAACCCACATGGCACAGCATAATATGCTCCTTCGCTTCTCCTCGCTTTGAGCTTGGCTACTTACTAACTGTTCGTTCGTGGGCTTTGTACTCGTTATAAGACTCACAAGAACACAAACCCACCTTCTGGTGCCGCCTCTGGATGCTGCAGTCCCTGCTGTGTAGCGCCACCACGTTGCCATGCGCGTCGCACGCCAGCTGCACCTCCAAGTGCCGACTCTGCGGAGTAGTGCATGCGAGGGGCAAAGGAAGATGCAGTACAGTTATGGAACTGGCTGAGAGTAGAAAAGAAGAAAAGGAGACCAGGGCGAAAAGCGGTTTGGAATTCAAGACTTGTTTGTTTGCGAAAAGCGGCCCCAGTGCTGCGCAGTGCAGTGTGTGGCGATGCCTCGTTCAAGATTCTCCAAACTCGTTTGTAACTTATGCCCTGAACGCGTTTCTGATTCTACCAGAAAACACTTACCAGGGCTGCCACCTTCATGACGAATACAGGCGAGCCGGGCACTTCGCCTTGCACTTGCTTGAACAGGGTTACCACCTCCTCCTCGTTGTGCACCTGCACTCGCCGCCACAGCCATTTATGGAAAGCATCACTCATCAGTCGTACTCAACCGGCCATTCTAAGCAGAAACAATCAGAGACAAGAAATCAACCAATCAAACAAACAACCAAAAGAAAGCAACAGTCTGTGAGTTCACCTTGCGGATACCCTTGCCGCCACCACCCCAGGAGGCCTTGATCATGGCCGGGTAGCCGACGCGGTTGCAGCAGTCGAGACACTCCTCCGTGGTGCGCACGCACGCCTGGTGGTACAGCTCCTCCTCGATCTCCGTCCTGCACTGGTCGTCCGGCAGGATAATCTGGTGCACGCCACGCGCGAGGAGGCCGCACAGACAGTAGGGTAAAACGAGTGAAGCCGCATTAGTCGGTTGAACTGAGTGTGAGATATGCTAGAGCAAATGTGTTTACCGGAAGGACTCTCACAAATGATGACGACGCTTCACAATAAAAAACTAAAATGATTCAGGAACCACGACAACAACTATGTGAATTCTCCCAAGTGGCCTGCACTTACGCTGGAACCACTCCACGGGAGCGTTGGAACTCACGACAACAAGTACGTCATGTTTTTTTCTCTCTCTCTAATGTGGCTTGCACTTACGCTGGAGCCACTCCACGGGATCGTTGGAACTCGGGCCGTCTGCGCTATAAGCGTGGAGCCGATTTTGTCGCCTAGTGCCGCCATGGAATGCGCCGAAGGGCCCAGGAACGCGATACCCTTAGCCGAGAGCGACTGCGGAAGATCCGGGTTCTCAGACGCGTGACCCCAGCCAGGCCACACGGCGTCCACTTTAGTTCGCTCCGCGACCTGAAAAATGACATCAGATTTGCAAATTATTGCTGTACAGAAACCACGTAAGCTGAGCAATACAGACTGAGATAACAAGTTTAAGCAGTCATTTCATGTGATACACACGGACTTTAGTCATACCTCGACGATAAGCTGCACGTTAGCGTAGTTGTTGTTGTTAGTCCCACCAGGAACCTCAACGAATGTATCCGCCATGCGAATGTGTTCGGCATTCGCACGCATGTCTTCCGGCGTAGCCATTGCAACCAGCTGTATAGCTCGCTCTTGACCAAAGGTCTCGAATGCCCATGATCTGACGAACGAGGGTTAGAAAGTACCGTCGGAAGGTAAAAATTAGCTACCTTAGTACTTATGATCAGGATTAACAAGAAACATGCGCATTGAAAACTGCAACAACAATCTCCGTTCCGCTGTTTTGTGGCTCTTAAACGCTTCTTCGTAATGTTATTTTTGGTGTCTAACCTTATGCTGTTGATAAACTTGACCGCTGCGATGCCATTGTTGGCAATAAGGACGCTGTTGATGGGCCGTGTTCCCCCAAGGAGACGGCAGTATTCAGCCACCATGCTTGGCCCTCCGCTGAACGCGGCTCCATTAGCTACAGGCAACATATTGGAGTATCACACGAAGGAAATCTAGAGCAGAAATAACTATGTCTCTAGACAAATGTTATTCCAGGTTAAGCCAGAATCGCATCTCTTAGCAGCTAAAGCTAAACTACTTAAGAACCGCCAGTCTCGCGGGAGAAGTAGACAGGCCTGTCAAACCTAAGCAGATCCGCCTATCACTACCCCGTCACGCTGAGCAGGCAGAGAGACGCAAGTCTTATGCGTTGATGTGCATCGATTGAAACGGCGACAGAGAGCGACGATCCGTCACTTTCAACGGCTGTTAGGATTGAACATTGAGCTAAAGGGTAGGGAATGTTCAGGCAAGAGGGGAGTGAAGTGGAGGGATGCAAGGCGAGGCGAAGCATGGCCACATAAGGATTTGGCCACCAGATTCAGGGAAGAATGGCGGTCAGGGAAGCACGGTGATTCGCAGGACTCAGGGAGTTGAAGGGCAACAGAAATGAAAGGCGGGAAACACCTTGAGATCATCCTCAATCCGTCCTGTCAGAAAGCACACTATCGCGAGCAAACGAACACGGGTTACCACAATATCGTGAGTACTCGCAACTGTGCGAGCAGTTGGAGGAATTTCCCAAGGGTCGCTGTCTGTTGCTTCCACCGATTCAAAACGTCAGCAGCAGCGGCTTGAGGATTTCATTGGACGAAAGGGAGCAAGCGTGCAAAATGTCGTGCTCGTGTGGGAGGGATGTGGCAAGAGGTTTGCGAATGTTACATCTGGCCAGCAGAGACCAAGATGCGTTCCGTCTATTGGCTGCGAGAAGCGGCGTGTTCGTATCATGTGACACTCTTGTGCAGTATTGGTCCAGACGCCAGATCGCAAGAGGTGTCAGAGAAGTGCGGGTTTGCATGCCGTGGAAGCATACGCAGACGCGACGCGACCACCTAGCTAGGGGTTCTGGCTCGGATACATCCAGACCTCGTTTTCGAGACTCGTGGAAAGCAATGCGAAAATGAGGCTACAGAGAAACGCGACACAAACTCGTACACAATGTCAAACAAAAGGTAGGCCGGAAAAAACCTATGTTGTAAATATTGCTAAGCACATTTCTATATGGGAGCAAAATCCACAAGCAGAAAAAACACAACCTAAGGTGGATTAAATGTTGATCGCAATCCCAACCTCTAACAAACGAGATAGTATTACCTTCTTGTGCTAAGAAGTATGTCCACATGTGCAACCCTCAAAACAACTGTGGAACAAAGGTCTGGTCCGTGACTGGTGGTCGCACATAATAATCCTCCTGGAGCGGCGGAATCTTCACGTCATTCGGCTCAATCAGATCCTCATACGGGATCAAGCTGAGCAAGTGCGCCATCACACTCAGCCTCGCCGCCTTCTTATCATCCGACGGGACCACATACCACGGTGCCTGCTTGATATCACAATACCCAAACATCACATCCTTTGCGTACGAATAATCCGCCCACCGCGCCCGTGACTGCAGGTCCATGTCGCTGAGCTTCCACCGCTTTTCCGGCCGATCCAGCCGCTCCTTAAACCGCTTCTCCTGCTCCTCGGGACTCACCGAAATCCAGTACTTGACCAGAATAATCCCCGACCGCACCAGCATGCGCTCAAACTCGGGGCACGACCGGAGAAACTCGCGATACTCTTCATCCGTGCAGAACCCCATGACCCGCTCAACCCCCGCGCGGTTATACCAGCTTCGATCGAACAGAACCATTTCGCCCGCAGCCGGAAGGTGGGCTACATAGCGCTGGAAGTACCACTGAGTGCGCTCGCGGTCCGAGGGGGTTCCCAGAGCCTTGATGCTGCACACACGCGGGTTTAGCGGCGCCGTGATGACCTTGATAATACCACCCTTGCCGGCCGCGTCGCGCCCCTCGAATATGACCACCACGCGCAGGCCCTTCTTCTTGATCCACTCCTGCAGCTTCACCAGCTCGAGCTGTAATGGGGGGCGGTGGGGGAGTGGGGGGGAAGGGGTGGGGTTTAAAGGGATGTAAGGACCTCTAGCGCACGTGCGGGCCCTTCTTCTTGTTCCACTCCTGCAGTTACTGAGGTGACTTTTGAGTCGACTCAAAAGTCACCTCCTGCAGTTACTTTCAAGCGCCCGAGCTGGCAATGGGGGAGAGAAGAGAAGAAAGGAGGGGGAAGGATAAAGGGGGGAGGTTGAAGGCATGAAAAGGGTTAAGGGACCCTTCTGCTTAAACACTCCCCCCCTGGCATGACAACACTCCGACGATGAGCACCACATGAGGAGTGTTAAAGAGGAGAGGAGAAGAGGAGGGGGAGGAGGGGGAGGAGGGGGAGGAGGGGAAGCAGGGGAAGGAGGGGAAGGAGGGGAAGGAGGGGAAGGAGGGGGAGGAGGGGGAGGAGGGGGAGGAGGGGGAGGAGGGGGAGGAGGGGAAGGAGGGGGAGGAAGGGGAGGAGGGGGAGGAGGGGGAGGAGAGGGAGGAGAGGGGGGAGGAGGAGGAGGAGGAGGAGGAGGAGGAGGAGGAGGAGGAGGAGGAGGAGGAGGAGGAGGAGGAGGAGGAGGAGGAGGAGGAGGAGGAGGAGGAGGAGGAGGAGGTGGAGGAGGAGGAGGAGGAGGAGGAGGAGGAGGAGGAGGAGGAGGAGGAGGAGGAGGAGGAGGAGGAGGAGGAGGAGGACATAGCTTGTGCAAGTGAAGCTCTCATAAGAACCAAGTTTCAAAATGCCTACACCATTTCCCCAAGTTTCGCGCACATGGTGGTGCATTGTGCTTCAAACGGAGTGTGCTTAGAATAAGTTTTTAATATATTTTCTATCCTCTTCCTCTTAAACACGCAACAAACTTGTGTACACCCCCCCCCCCCCCGTTTCTTCCTCTCCATCCCCCACCCCTTTCTCCTATACCCTCCCCATTTTACCTAACCCCGAAAAAACACCTGGTACCCGTTATAAGCTCACCTGCAGCCTCTCCAGTTCGTCCTCGTAGTTGTAGTTCTTCTTCTTCTTCCCCTTATCCTTCTCCGCCGCCTTGGCGTGCGACGAAAGGTCGTCCGGGTAGTGCCCCGTTGGCTCCACCCCGCGGCTGCGACCGTTCTTGTCCTTCTCCTTCTCCTTTTTCGACTTTTTCTTCCCTTCGCTGCCCGATGAGCTGCCCGTTTCGCTGCCCGAGGAGCTGCCCGAGGAGCTACCCGTCACGGGGCTTGTCACCTCCTTCGTCTCGCTCTCCACCTTCCCCGCCGCTACCTCCGCCTTCGTTCCATCCTCAACCTCCTCTGCCGTGTCGCCCTTTTTCTTCTCCTTATCTCCCTTCTTCTTCCCCTTTCCGCTCTTTTCCAGATCGCTCAAATAAAGATCTTCGTGGTGGTACACCCGAGGCGCCCACCCGCCGCCGTGAATCGCGCCGGCTTCGTCGCCGTCGTCGCCGCCGGGCCTGCCGCCGCCCACCGCGGGGAGCTCGAAGTCGTCGAGTCGCGGGCTTTTGGTAGACGAGAGCGCGACTCCCGCGGGCGCGTCGTTCTCGGGCTCGTCCCCGTCCTTCTTCGCACGCGAGGTTACCACTCGAGCGGCATTCCTTCGCCTGCTTTCGCCAAGCCGCAGGAAACCGGGCGGCGACGAGTGGCCAAGAGGACGGCGAGACGCGAGAAGAGAGTGCGACGGCCTTGCGGATAGCCCGGGAGATGCGGAGACGAAGAGCGTCGCAGGCATTATTCCCGGCTTGAGTGTACCAGAAAAAGCGTAGCAACTACGAAGTGATTACTGGTAAAGCTTTATCACTTGCCTGTAGCGCAAGGTGAGTTCCGGTGCAACAACGGTACAGTCAAGGTCAGAGGTGCCTTGGAGTCGACTCAAAAGTCACCGCGAACAGCAACAACGGAAAGAAAAGCTTGCGGGAGCCAACTGAAGCCGAAGCCGCTTCGAGGGACGAGTGCGGTGGGTGCAGACAGAGATGCCGCAGATTCGAGTTGAGTTGCGGCGAATGCAAAGCAAGCAAAGGAGGCAAGCGTGTGTAAAGCGCTTGGTCTGATTTCCTGGGAGGTTGGAATTCTTGCTGCTGCTGATCTTGTCGTTGCTTCCTCACAACACAGTGCGCGAATTCGTCGGAAGGACGGATGACGAGTTTCTGCGGCGAATGAGCAAGTACAATACAGTGGGAACTGAGGATTGGTTCCTGGTTTGCGAAACTTAGGAGGTGGCGTAGAGAAACTTACGAAATGACATTTATGATTCTCACTTCTGTTCACAGTGCTGAAGGAACTCTACACTCGATGTTTGCAGCTCCCCGTTGTTCCCAGCAGGAAAAATGCGTCCCACATTTGGAATGGATATCTATCTGGTCAAGCGCTCTACACTGTTATAGGCAGGGACCAACTGGTTGACAGCGCGGAAGCGATGCGCTGGCGCTGACAATGCAGCACCTTATTGGTGATACCTGACGTGTCAAACACCAATGAAAACGGGTACTTCGAGATCTTTGTGCGTCCTTGCACAAATCATGCGCGTTGCGTATATTCGTACGTCGGTATGCGTGGCGAGTGTATCCTCAATATATGCCAGCAATAAGAGGGGAGGGAGCATGAGAATTGTGCATGTTCCTGTGGCAGCAGGAAAAACTAACTGCAGAAGGGAAATGGGACACTGGTTGAGTTGAGAGAGATATCGGCTTCTGTTGACAAATAATGGAGTTGTTAGTCTACCTTGAGACACCAAAAAAAAATATCTTCAATGTGTCCTGTTTCTTGCACGCGTCCCTAAAACTGCTTTCACTAGTGTGGGGTCGTTTTCTTCTATGACAACCAAAAAAAATATCCTACCTAAACAATGCGGTCGGCTTGCAAACTAGAAGAGCCCGAGAGAGCGCTTTCTCTGGTCCTGCTTCCACTTGGGCATGGCATAAAACTTGCCCTTGTCGTACCCAAATATGCGGAGGAAATCCGCCTCTGACAGGTACGACTGGACGGGGGAGGGAGGGGATAAAGAGGAGGGTAATTGTTGAGGAGCTTTGAGAAATAGAATCTCCGAACCAAGGCATCCAGGACGGGTAGGGAGGGAATCAGAGAGCTGGAAGCGTTGATTTTGGTTAGGCCAAGGGGACTGCAGGGTGAGGGGACTGCAGGGCAGGGGGACTGCAGGGCAGGGGGACTGCATGTGAGGACACGGGATAGGGGAAGGCACTCGAGGAAGGGCAATGGAGGTGGCGGATGACAATGTGAGTTGCAACTGCAACTCTTCTGACAGTCTCGGTTGTTCAGAATCCTCCTGCGTGTACGATTGTGTCGCCACACCATTGGCTGCCACATCCTGCCTGCACTTCCGAATCATCGCGTTCCGGCACGCAGCAGGATTCTCCATTGCAACTCACATTGTTCTCTTCCATTAACGATCGACACAACCCCTCAACTGCTGCCACTCGCTCCTTTCAATCCCCCCCCCACTCTCCCCGCCCTCCCCCCTCCCTTCCCCCACTCTCACCTCTCTTCTTGTAGTGTCAATCCCTCGAATCGGGTTCTTGCTGTCAATGATCAGCCTGTCAAATGAATAACACACCCCCTCCACTGCTGCTTCCCCATTCCCTGCTCCTCCTGCTCCTCCTGCTCCTCCTCCTGCTGCAGCTGCACTGTCACTGCTGCCACCGCCGCCCTTCTTCCCCTCCTCCTCGCCATCCTCGCTATCATCATCCTCGTTATCCGCTTCATGCACCGAGCCTGAGAGAGAATTTCCCCTGGCGAGCTTGAGAGGCTCTGTGAGGGCCGGAGAGCGACGGGGAGGGGGAGCGGGCAGGGAAATGAGTTGTATGGATAAGCCTTCTTCCCCGCCTCCTCTGGCAAGCTTGAGAGGCTCTGGGGGCGAGCGGGAGAGGGACGGGGAGGGTGATCAGGGAGAAGGGTGGGTGGGGAAGGAGGGGAAGGAGAGGGGTGGAGAGGGGTGGAGATGGAGAGCCGGGAGAAACATTGGTTGTATGGATGGATGAGGCAGGGCTATCATCATCCTCGTTATCTGCTTCATGCACCGAGCCTGAGAGAGAATTTCCCCTGGCGAGCTTGAGAGGCTCTGTGAGGGCCGGAGAGCGACGGGGAGGGGGAGCGGGCAGGGAAATGAGTTGTATGGATGAGCCTTCTTCCCCTCCTCCTATAAGCCGTGTGTGATAAGTCGAGTTTTTAGTCGACTCAAAACTCGACTTATCACACACGAGGGGGAGTGGGCAGGGAAATGAGTTGTATGGATAAGCCTTCTTCCCCGCCTCCTCGCCCATCCTCACTATCGTCATCCTCATTACCCGCTTCATGCACCGAGCCTGCGAGAGAGTTTCCTCTGGCAAGCTTGAGAGGCTCTGGGGGCGAACGGGAGAGGGACGGGGAGGGTGATCAGGGAGAAGGGTGGGTGGGGAAGGAGGGGAAGGAGAGGGGTGGAGAGGGGTGGAGATGGAGAGCCGGGAGAAACATTGGTTGTATGGATGGATGAGGCAGGGCTATCATCATCCTCATTACCCGCTTCACGCACCAAGCCCCAGAGAGAGTTTCCCCTGGCAAGCTTGAGAGGCTGAAGAGAGGCAGGGGAGATGGTGAGCGCAGAGAGAGAGGGCTCGGCGGAGGGGGAGTGGTGGCGGTCCTGAATCCAACCTAACACCTGTAGACTGTGCCGCAGCACTTACTGATTCTTGAGGCAACTCGACTGTTCCTCACCACTCACCCAGTTTCTCCCCTTTGAGCGCGCCAGTCAGCGCAGCCATGGCAGCGGCTCGCTGGGTTGAAGGAGAAGGGCCGGGGGAGGGCCCCCTCCTGCCCGCCAGCCCCTTGATGAGCGCGGGGGAGATGGTGAGCGAGGAGAGGGTGGGCTTGGCGGAGGGGGAGTGGGGCGTGGAGGAGGAGCGAGGGGTGGAGGAGGATGACGTGGCGGATGGGGATTGGTGCGTCAGTGCTGCGAGCCGACGCTTGGCCGTCTGGGGAAGGTACGGGGAAAGTGGGGAACAGGAGCGGATGCGGGGTTGGGGAGGGGAAAGTGGGGAACGGGAGTGGACGCGGGGTTGGGAAGGGGAGTTTGTGGAGGGGAAGGGATTAGAGCGGAACGGGAGGAAGGTAAGGAAAAGAGGGGATTATGGATGAAGGTTCAGCAGATACTGATATGAAATGAAGCCCCTCTTCAAGCAAGAAATGAAGAACGGGGTAGAGGAAAGGTGGAGAAGGAGGAGCAGGGCAAAGGAGGTATGGGAAGAAGAAGGGGGGAACAAACAAAGTGAAGCGTGAGGGAGGGCAGCATGTGAAGGGAGGGCAGGGAGGGAAGGAAGGGATGGCAGGGGCAGGAAGGGAGGGACTCACATCAGAGACCTCGAGCGATTCTCCCTGCAGCAACGCCAGCTTGCTTTTGAGAATTCTCAAAAGCAACACCAACAGGGAGGGAGGGAGGGATTAGGGTTTGAAGGACTCACATCGGAGAGCTCGAGCGATTTTCCCTGCAGCAGAGCCAGCTTGCGGTTATAGGGGTCTGCTAGGGCCTGGAGGGGTGAGGAGGGACAAGGAGCATAACAGCAAGGGCAAGGGGGGAAAGCGAACAGGGATGCAGGGAGCATGATCAGGAACCGAGTTGGGGAGGAAGCGATGTGCCCTGCAGCAGAGCCAGCTTGGGGTCTGGTGGGAGAGAAAGAGGAAGTGGGAGGGAGGGAGGCGGGTGAGTGCCGCTGCCAGCTCTGTGCTCAGAGCTCTATGCGACACGCGCTGCACATAACACATGACACACGCATTGAGGTCGTTTTTGAGGCGCCTCAAAAAAGAGCCCTATGCGTCACGCGCTGCACATAACACATGACACACACGCACGCACCACATTCACAGCAGTTGCCCTGAGCTTGACTCATTGCAGTTGAAGCGTGTTCTCAGTGGGGGTGGGGGGGGAGCGCAGTGAACACGGGGGGCTCGTACCCCTCCACTCCACTCCACTCCACTCCACTCCACTCCACTCCACACTACTCCACTCCACACTACTCCAGCCTTGCAGGTATTGCTGATGCACATACACATGCCACACACACCACATTCGCCCATGCACACTCACCACGCTCGCAGCATGGTCCCAGAGAGGAAAGGGCGCCGTGAACATCAGAGGCTTGTGCCCCTCCACCACACTCCACCACTCGCACCACCCGATTTCGTTCAAAAAAAGCTGCCCCAATTGCCCTAACTGTGACTTACCGCGCTCGCAGCATGGTCCCAGTGGGGGAAGAGCACCGTGAACATGGGGGGCTCGTACCCCTCCACCACTCGCACCACCGTGGTGTCCGTTGACCGCCCTTCCGTTGCTGCCACTCGATCCAAGTAGCGCTGCAATGAGGGGACCAAAGGAGACAAGATGGGGGTGGAGAGGGTGGAAACAAGGGAGGGTGGACGGACATGGGGGGCTCGTACCCCTCCACCACTCGCACCACCGTGGTGTCCGTTGACCGCCCTTCCGTTGCTGCCACTCGATCCAAGTAGCGCTGCAATGAGGGGACCAAAGGAGACAAGATGGGGGTGGAGAGGGTGGAAACAAGGGAGGGTGGACGGACATGGGGGGCTCGTACCCCTCCACCACTCGCACCACCGTGGTGTCCGTTGACCGCCCTTCCGTTGCTGCCACTCGATCCAAGTAGCGCTGCAATGAGGGGACCAAAGGAGACAAGATGGGGGTGGAGAGGGTGGAAACAAGGGAGGGTGGACGGACATGGGGGGCTCGTACCCCTCCACCACTCGCACCACCGTGGTGTCCGTTGACCGCCCTTCCGTTGCTGCCACTCGATCCAAGTAGCGCTGCAATGAGGGGACCAAAGGAGACAAGATGGGGGTGGAGAGGGTGGAAACAAGGGAGGGTGGACGGACATGGGGGGCTCGTACCCCTCCACCACTCGCACCACCGTGGTGTCCGTTGACCGCCCTTCCGTTGCTGCCACTCGATCCAAGTAGCGCTGCAATGAGGGGACCAAAGGAGACAAGATGGGGGTGGAGAGGGTGGAAACAAGGGAGGGTGGACGGACATGGGGGGCTCGTACCCCTCCACCACTCGCACCACCGTGGTGTCCGTTGACCGCCCTTCCGTTGCTGCCACTCGATCCAAGTAGCGCTGCAATGAGAGGACCAAAGGAGACAAGATGGGGGTGGAGAGGGTGGAAACAAGGGAGGGTGGACGGACATGGGGGGCTCGTACCCCTCCACCACTCGCACCACCGTGGTGTCCTTTGACCGCCCTTCCGTTGCTGCCACTCGATCCAAGTAGCGCTGCAATGAGGGGACCAAAGGAGACAAGATGGGGGTGGAGAGGGTGGAAACAAGGGAGGGTGGACGGACATGGGGGGCTCGTACCCCTCCACCACTCGCACCACCGTGGTGTCCGTTGACCGCCCTTCCGTTGCTGCCACTCGATCCAAGTAGCGCTGCAATGAGGGGACCAAAGGAGACAAGATGGGGGTGGAGAGGGTGGAAACAAGGGAGGGTGGACGGACATGGGGGGCTCGTACCCCTCCACCACTCGCACCACCGTGGTGTCCGTTGACCGCCCTTCCGTTGCTGCCACTCGATCCAAGTAGCGCTGCAATGAGGGGACCAAAGGAGACAAGATGGGGGTGGAGAGGGTGGAAACAAGGGAGGGTGGACGGACATGGGGGGCTCGTACCCCTCCACCACTCGCACCACCGTGGTGTCCTTTGACCGCCCTTCCGTTGCTGCCACTCGATCCAAGTAGCGCTGCAATGAGAGGACCAAAGGAGACAAGATGGGGGTGGAGAGGGTGGAAACAAGGGAGGGTGGACGGACATGGGGGGCTCGTACCCCTCCACCACTCGCACCACCGTGGTGTCCTTTGACCGCCCTTCCGTTGCTGCCACTCGATCCAAGTAGCGCTGCAATGAGGGGACCAAAGGAGACAAGATGGGGGTGGAGAGGGTGGAAACAAGGGAGGGTGGACGGACATGGGGGGCTCGTACCCCTCCACCACTCGCACCACCGTGGTGTCCTTTGACCGCCCTTCCGTTGCTGCCACTCGATCCAAGTAGCGCTGCAATGAGGGGACCAAAGGAGACAAGATGGGGGTGGAGAGGGTGGAAACAAGGGAGGGTGGACGGACATGGGGGGCTCGTACCCCTCCACCACTCGCACCACCGTGGTGTCCGTTGACCGCCCTTCCGTTGCTGCCACTCGATCCAAGTAGCGCTGCAATGAGGGGACCAAAGGAGACAAGATGGGGGTGGAGAGGGTGGAAACAAGGGAGGGTGGACGGACATGGGGGGCTCGTACCCCTCCACCACTCGCACCACCGTGGTGTCCGTTGACCGCCCTTCCGTTGCTGCCACTCGATCCAAGTAGCGCTGCAATGAGGGGACCAAAGGAGACAAGATGGGGGTGGAGAGGGTGGAAACAAGGGAGGGTGGACGGACATGGGGGGCTCGTACCCCTCCACCACTCGCACCACCGTGGTGTCCGTTGACCGCCCTTCCGTTGCTGCCACTCGATCCAAGTAGCGCTGCAATGAGGGGACCAAAGGAGACAAGATGGGGGTGGAGAGGGTGGAAACAAGGGAGGGTGGACGGACATGGGGGGCTCGTACCCCTCCACCACTCGCACCACCGTGGTGTCCGTTGACCGCCCTTCCGTTGCTGCCACTCGATCCAAGTAGCGCTGCAATGAGAGGACCAAAGGAGACAAGATGGGGGTGGAGAGGGTGGAAACAAGGGAGGGTGGACGGACATGGGGGGCTCGTACCCCTCCACCACTCGCACCACCGTGGTGTCCTTTGACCGCCCTTCCGTTGCTGCCACTCGATCCAAGTAGCGCTGCAATGAGGGGACCAAAGGAGACAAGATGGGGGTGGAGAGGGTGGAAACAAGGGAGGGTGGACGGACATGGGGGGCTCGTACCCCTCCACCACTCGCACCACCGTGGTGTCCGTTGACCGCCCTTCCGTTGCTGCCACTCGATCCAAGTAGCGCTGCAATGAGGGGACCAAAGGAGACAAGATGGGGGTGGAGAGGGTGGAAACAAGGGAGGGTGGACGGACATGGGGGGCTCGTACCCCTCCACCACTCGCACCACCGTGGTGTCCGTTGACCGCCCTTCCGTTGCTGCCACTCGATCCAAGTAGCGCTGCAATGAGGGGACCAAAGGAGACAAGATGGGGGTGGAGAGGGTGGAAACAAGGGAGGGTGGACGGACATGGGGGGCTCGTACCCCTCCACCACTCGCACCACCGTGGTGTCCTTTGACCGCCCTTCCGTTGCTGCCACTCGATCCAAGTAGCGCTGCAATGAGAGGACCAAAGGAGACAAGATGGGGGTGGAGAGGGTGGAAACAAGGGAGGGTGGACGGACATGGGGGGCTCGTACCCCTCCACCACTCGCACCACCGTGGTGTCCTTTGACCGCCCTTCCGTTGCTGCCACTCGATCCAAGTAGCGCTGCAATGAGGGGACCAAAGGAGACAAGATGGGGGTGGAGAGGGTGGAAACAAGGGAGGGTGGACGGACATGGGGGGCTCGTACCCCTCCACCACTCGCACCACCGTGGTGTCCTTTGACCGCCCTTCCGTTGCTGCCACTCGATCCAAGTAGCGCTGCAATGAGGGGACCAAAGGAGACAAGATGGGGGTGGAGAGGGTGGAAACAAGGGAGGGTGGACGGACATGGGGGGCTCGTACCCCTCCACCACTCGCACCACCGTGGTGTCCGTTGACCGCCCTTCCGTTGCTGCCACTCGATCCAAGTAGCGCTGCAATGAGGGGACCAAAGGAGACAAGATGGGGGTGGAGAGGGTGGAAACAAGGGAGGGTGGACGGACATGGGGGGCTCGTACCCCTCCACCACTCGCACCACCGTGGTGTCCGTTGACCGCCCTTCCGTTGCTGCCACTCGATCCAAGTAGCGCTGCAATGAGGGGACCAAAGGAGACAAGATGGGGGTGGAGAGGGTGGAAACAAGGGAGGGTGGACGGACATGGGGGGCTCGTACCCCTCCACCACTCGCACCACCGTGGTGTCCGTTGACCGCCCTTCCGTTGCTGCCACTCGATCCAAGTAGCGCTGCAATGAGAGGACCAAAGGAGACAAGATGGGGGTGGAGAGGGTGGAAACAAGGGAGGGTGGACGGACATGGGGGGCTCGTACCCCTCCACCACTCGCACCACCGTGGTGTCCTTTGACCGCCCTTCCGTTGCTGCCACTCGATCCAAGTAGCGCTGCAATGAGGGGACCAAAGGAGACAAGATGGGGGTGGAGAGGGTGGAAACAAGGGAGGGTGGACGGACATGGGGGGCTCGTACCCCTCCACCACTCGCACCACCGTGGTGTCCGTTGACCGCCCTTCCGTTGCTGCCACTCGATCCAAGTAGCGCTGCAATGAGGGGACCAAAGGAGACAAGATGGGGGTGGAGAGGGTGGAAACAAGGGAGGGTGGACGGACATGGGGGGCTCGTACCCCTCCACCACTCGCACCACCGTGGTGTCCGTTGACCGCCCTTCCGTTGCTGCCACTCGATCCAAGTAGCGCTGCAATGAGGGGACCAAAGGAGACAAGATGGGGGTGGAGAGGGTGGAAACAAGGGAGGGTGGACGGACATGGGGGGCTCGTACCCCTCCACCACTCGCACCACCGTGGTGTCCTTTGACCGCCCTTCCGTTGCTGCCACTCGATCCAAGTAGCGCTGCAATGAGAGGACCAAAGGAGACAAGATGGGGGTGGAGAGGGTGGAAACAAGGGAGGGTGGACGGACATGGGGGGCTCGTACCCCTCCACCACTCGCACCACCGTGGTGTCCTTTGACCGCCCTTCCGTTGCTGCCACTCGATCCAAGTAGCGCTGCAATGAGGGGACCAAAGGAGACAAGATGGGGGTGGAGAGGGTGGAAACAAGGGAGGGTGGACGGACATGGGGGGCTCGTACCCCTCCACCACTCGCACCACCGTGGTGTCCTTTGACCGCCCTTCCGTTGCTGCCACTCGATCCAAGTAGCGCTGCAATGAGGGGACCAAAGGAGACAAGATGGGGGTGGAGAGGGTGGAAACAAGGGAGGGTGGACGGACATGGGGGGCTCGTACCCCTCCACCACTCGCACCACCGTGGTGTCCGTTGACCGCCCTTCCGTTGCTGCCACTCGATCCAAGTAGCGCTGCAATGAGGGGACCAAAGGAGACAAGATGGGGGTGGAGAGGGTGGAAACAAGGGAGGGTGGACGGACATGGGGGGCTCGTACCCCTCCACCACTCGCACCACCGTGGTGTCCGTTGACCGCCCTTCCGTTGCTGCCACTCGATCCAAGTAGCGCTGCAATGAGGGGACCAAAGGAGACAAGATGGGGGTGGAG